AAAAAAAAAAAAAGAAATTTCCCTCTCCCTGAATGTTGTCAGGTTCAAGGAGGTTGAAATTGCTATACTCCTATTTTTTTAAAAAGCTGAAATTTTAAATTTGCTTTTGTCATCTCTAGCCAATTCAGAGGAAATTATAGAGGGAAATTCCATTGACTCATCAATCCAGCAAGTAATGGGGAGTGGAGGCCAGAGGGTCATCACCATAGTAACTGATGGAGTCCCTCTGGGTAATATCCAAACTTCAATCCCTACTGGAGGCATTGGCCAGCCATTTATTGTAACTATGCAAGATGGACAGCAAGGTGAGTTATCTCTTGTAGACAATTGTTTATTAAAAGATATTTTAGATACTCCATACTCACCTAAACATGAGGCATTAAAACAAATAGTGGAAGTGGGAGACTGCCAGATGCAAGTTGGGGCAAAGAAGCTCTGAAAAAGAAAAAGAAACAGAACCAGATTGGCAAAAGCTAATTGCCTAATATGTATAAAATCTGTAGTAAAAAACAGTTGATCTGGTGGAAAATATAACAAGTAGACCGGGCGTGGTGGCTTATGCCTGTAATCCCAGCACTTTGGGAGGCCGAGGCAGGCGGATCGTGAGGTCAGGAGATCGAGACCATCCTGGCTAACATGGTGAAACCCCGTCTCTACTAAAAAATTTAAAAAAAAAAAAAAAAATTAGCCGTGTGTGACGGCGGACGCCTGTAGTCCCAGCTACTCGAGAGCCTGAGGCGGGAGAATGGCGTGAACCCAGGAGGCGAAGCTTGCAGTGAGCTGAGATCACGCCACTGCACTCCAGCCTGGGTGACAGAGCAAGACTCCGTCTAAAAATAATAATAATAATAATAATAATAATATGAACCAGTAGTCCACAGAAAAAAATGTACTGATGGCTCTTAAAAATATGAAAATAGCCGGGTGAGGCAGATCACGGCTGTAATCCCAGCACTTTGGGAGGTTGAGGCAAGAGGATCACTTGAGATCAGGAGTTCAAGACCAGCCTGGCCAAAATAGCAAAACCCCGTCTCTACTAAAAATACAAAAATTAGCCGAGCATGGTGGCACACACCTGTAGTTCCAGCTACTCAGGAGGCTGAAGTGGGAGGATCACTTGAGCCCAGTAGGTTGAGGCTGTAGTGAGCCGTGATTGTGCCACTGCACACCAGCCTGGATAACAGTGTGAGTCTCCGTCTTAAAAAAAAAAAAGAAAGAAAGAGAAAATATATCCCACCTACTTCATTCATAACAAGAGAAGTGCAAATAAATACTGTACTGAGATACCATTATAACACTATGTTGTTAAAGGTGTAGGGAAACAAGCACTCTTATAAATCATTTGTAAGAGTGCAAATTAATGGATCCTCTAAAAAGGATATTGGTAGTATCTGTAGATACTAAAGATATACATAAAGATGTACCTTTGGGTTTTTTGTTTGCTTGTTTGTTTGAGATGGAGTCCCTCTCTGTTGCCCAGACTGGAGTGCAGTGGTAGGATCTTGGCTCACTGCAACCTCCACCTCCCTGGTTCAAGCAATTCTTGTGCCTCAGCCTCCTGAGTAGCTGGGACTATAGGCACACGCCACCACGTCCAGTTACTTTTTGTGTATTTTGAATAGAGACAGGGTTTCACCATGTTAGCCAGGCTGGTCTTGAACTCCAGACCTCAAGTGATCCTTCCACCTCAGCCTCCCAAAGTGCTAGGATTATAGACATGAGCCATCACACTCAGTCAAGATGTACCTTTTGGTTAAACAGTTCTTTTTTCTTTTGTGTGTGTGTAACTGGGTCTTGTTCTGTCACCCAGGCTTGTGTGCAGTGGTGCAATCATGGGTCACTGCAGCCTCAACCTCCTGGGCTCAAGATATCCTCCTGCCTCAGCCTCCTGAGTAGCTGGGGCTACAGTTCCACGCCACCATGCCCAGCTATATTCAGACTGAGGCTATATATTAGTATACTGAGGCATAACATTAGTTGCTTCCAAGGAGGGCAGCTGGGTACTAAGGATGAGTGGGAGGCTTTTCAATGTATACGCTTTTATAGCCTTGATGTTTTTAATCATTTAATGTATCAGTTATTCAAAAAAGACATAATTAAAATTTTTTGAAAAGAGGAAGCCCATCATTACAACTCCATATCTTAAAAATACTGGAGGTTGGCCAGGCACAATGGCTGATACATGTAATCCTGTAATCCTAGCACTTTGGGAGACCAAGGCAAGAGGATTGCTTGAGGCCAAGAGTTCCAGATCAGCTGGGGCAACATAGCAAGACCCCCTATCTCTACACAATTTAAAAAAAAATAGTCTGGTTGATGGCACGTCCTTATAGTCCCAACTACTCAGGAGGTTTTGGCAGGAGGATCACTTGAGCCCAGGAGCTCAAGGTTACAGTATGCTACCATGATCATGCCACTGCACTCCAGCCTGGGCATAATCATGCCACTGCACTCCAGTCTGAGCAACAGAGCAAAACATTGTCTTTAAAAAATAAAAATGTATATTGGAGGTTGAAAAGAAGGGTACTGGTATAATTTCCTTTCTTAATGTCGCTGAAATTTTGACTTGGCTTATATGATTGTGGGGATTTGTAATTTTTTTTTTTTTTTTTTTTGAGACAGAATCTCACTCTGTCACCCAGGCTGGAGTGCAGTGGCACAATCTCGGCTCACTGCAACCTCCACCTGCTGGGTTCAAGCAATTCTCCTGCCTCAGCCTCCTGAGTAGCTGGGATTACAGGCATGTGCCACCACGCCCAGCTAATTTTTTTGTATTTTTAGCAGAGACAGGTTTCACCATGTTGGTCAGCCTGTTATTGAACTCCTGACCTCATGATCCACCCGCCTCAGCCTCCCAAAGTGCTGGAATTACAAGCGTAAGCCACCAAGCCCGGCCTATAGTTTTTATTTGTTTGTTTGTTTGTTTTTGAGATAGGATCTCCCTTTGTTGCCCAGGCTAGAGTGCAGTGGCATGATTATGGCTCACTGCAGCCTCGACTTCCCAAGCAACCCTCTCACCTCAGCCTCCCAAGTAGCTGGGACTACAGGCATGCACCACCACGCCTGGCTAATTATATTATATTTTTATTTTTAGACAGGGACTCAGTCTGTCACCCAGGCTGGAGTGCAGTGGTGTGATCTCAGCTCACTGCAATCTCTACCTTCCGGGTTCAAGTGATTCTTCTGCCTCAGCCACCAGAGTAGCTGGGATTACAGTCATGGCCACCATGCCCAGCTAATTTTTTTGGGTTTTTTGGTTTTTTTTTTGTAGAGACAGAGTTTCTCCATGTTGGCCAGGCTGGTCACGAATTCCTGAACTCAAGTGATCTGCCTGCCTTGGCCTCCCAAAGTGCTGGGATTACAGGTGTGAGCCACCATGCCTGGCCTTTTTTATTTTTTGTACAGACTGGGTCTTACTATGTTGCCCATTCTGGGATTTATAATTTTTTAATTATTTGAACTGATGGATCAGGAAGTATGGGAAGATAAGAATTAAACTTATTATAATCCAAACTTTGGTATCATAAATTCTAATTTATGCATTGCTGATATTTTTGTGAACATAGTTATCATTTTAAGTGTTTAGGGCTCATTGGGTAGGTGAGAGACTCTGCTTATAATGGAACTAAATAAATGAAAACTGAGTTGTTTTGGAGAAAAAGAGAATTGAAGTTTAACCTAAATAAACTATACTACTTTTTTATTTTTATTTTTTAAATTTATTTATTTATTTACTTAGAGGTGCAATCTCAGCTCCCTGCAGCCTCAACCTCCTAGGCTCAAGCAGTCCTCCCATCTCATCGTCCCAAGTAGCTAGGACCACAGGTGCAAGCCACCACAGCCAGCTAATTTTTTACTTTTTCATAGAGACAAGGTCTTCCTATGTTACCCAGCCTGGCCTCAAACTCCTGGGCTCAAGCAATCCTTCTACCTTGGCTTCCTAAAGTTCTGGGATTACAGGCGTGAGCTACTGTGCTTAGCCTACACTACTTTTTACAAATATGCTTAAGGCCCAAAGAAGGAAAACAGATTTTGTGAGTTATCTGCAGAAAAATTTAAATCCCAGACTAAACTTCCATTTCTACTCAACATATATCTAAGCTGCTTTCCACTGCCATCAATTGATGAGTTTATAAAGAAATACAGGCCGGGAACAGTGGCTCAAGCCTGTAATCCCAGCACTTTGGGAGGCCGAGACGGGCGGATCACGAGGTCAGGAGATCGAGACCATCCTGGCCTACACGGTGAAACCCCGTCTCTACTAAAAAATACAAAAAACTAGCCGGGTGAGGTGGCGGGCGCCTGTAGTCCCAG